AAAAAAAAGAAACAAAAAACCAAAAAAAAACCCTTCAAACTTGATTTGCATCTGTCTGTTAAAAGGTGCTAGCTGGGCGCTGAGGCGCTCGCCTGTAATCCCAGCGACTCAGGAGGCTGAGGCAGGAGGATTGCAAGTTCAAAGCCAGCCTCAGCAATGATGAGGTGCTAAGCAACTCAGTGAGACCCTGTCTCTAAATAAAATACAAAATAGAGCTGGGGATATGGCTCAGTGTCGAGTGCCCCTGAGTTCAATCTCCAATACCCCCCAAAAAGAGAAAAAAAAAAAAAGGCCATGGTCTGTTAAGTATTGGGGCATTAATTAGTGTGTTTGTAAAGTTATATGTACTTAGCATCACATGGGAGCTTTTAAAAATTAGTCTTATCATGTCCTCATGGACTCCTTGGTCAGCTTGCATTGCTATAGCAGAGTACCATGACTGACTGACTTAAATAGCAGAAATTTATGTTCCCACATTTCTAGAGCCTAGAAGCCTGAGAGCAGGACATTGGCCTGGTTGAATTCAGGTGAGGGTTCTCTTCTTGGTTTGCGGATGGCCACCATTTCACTCTGTGCTCATGTGGCAAAGGGAAATCAAGCTCACTGGTATCTCTTATTGTAAGGACACTAAACTTATTGTATCAGAGTCCCACACTTCTGAACTCACTTCATCTTTATAACCCCCCATGAAGGCTGTTTCACAGTACAGTCAGATTTGGTTTGGGACTTCATCATAGGAATGGGTGTGAGGCACATAACATCCAATCCAGAGAAGTATGATTTCAGTGGCTTTATAGGAATCATCCTTGTACCTATCTGTTTTACAATAGCCCTTTAGGACTGTTAGAACTTTAGGACTTACCCCACATAAAATTTGGTGTAGGGTATTTCTTATATTTATTAATTTGGGGTGAAGTAATTTTAAGTTACTCATTGAAAATTCCAGTTCGTGCAAAAGATTTTCTAAAATGACATGATGAATGCGGGCATTCAATCTATGACTCACGTGTGAGGTGTGTGGAATGCAGGTATCAACAAAAGGATAGAAAACTCAGGAGGAAGGGATCACAGGCCCCTTAGGGAGGGCTCAGCAGGGTGGAATTGAATGTTGATATCACAGGGTACATGGGATTTGACAGGTGACAGGCAGAGCAGCATTCTGGTGGTGGGAAGTCAGACTTTTGAGGTGTGGTAGCTGGACCCCTAGGACTTGGAGACCAGTGGAGACTGCCGCCCCATGTGTTGAGTCCAGAATCCAAGTGTCCTGCCAATGCAAAGTATGTGGATTTCTTTTCTGGAGGCAATGGAAAGACTTAACATATTTTAAGGAAAAGGGGAAGTATTATAATTAGTTCTGGGTTTTGGACAAGCAAAAAATATATATATTTTTTTCCTTTGGGTACCGGGGATTGAATTCAGGGGCACTTGGCCACTGAGCCATATCCCTAGCCCTATTTTATATTTTAGTCAGAGTCTCATCAGTTGCTCAGTGCCTTGCTTTTACTCAGGCGGGCGGGCTTTGAACTCGTGATTCTCCTGCCTCAACTTCCCAAACTGCTGAGATTACAGGTGTATACTATTGCGCCCAGATTGGACAAGCAAAATTTTTAAATATATTAATTAGAGTTAATTAGAGAGCTTAGAGTTGGAGGTCCAGCCATGGTATCCCTCTCTTCTGGGATGCCTTTCCCTCTCTTTGCACACTGCCAAACTCCTGTCCATCCTTCAACATTCCTCTGGAGAGATTTATCCACAGTAAAGTCTTTCCTGACCTGTCTAGATGGAATAGTCACTCCCTCCTCTGCAATTTAAGTGTAACTATTATTGCTGGTGTAACATCAGAGGATAATGATATGTTTACACATCTCTCCCACTCCTTGACTTGAAGGACCTTGAGAGAAGGGGTTGTGGGTTTTTACGGGTTGTTCTGTTTTGATCTGTTTTGCATGCACAGTGTAAAGTGCTTGGCCCATTGTAAGGGTTTATATTTGTTGAACATAACTAAGCTGACTAAGGCTACTGTGAAAGTCAGGAGAGAAGCAAGGATATGGGCAAGACTGCATTGGTAGGAATAGAAAGGGGAAGGCTTATTATGGCTGCAAGGGAGGAAGATTTGGGGATGATTCTGAGACTTCTAATTAGTCATTCAGGTAAATGTTAAAATTTCCTTAACCGAGACAGAACCACTGCATTTGGAGGTGAGTTGTTTAGTTAGTCCCCCCCACCCCCCTCAGATGGGGACATTCCAAATGGTAGAGTATAGCAGGCAAATGAAAATACAATCTGGACTAAGCTTTATTGTTATCCCCAACCTTTGAAGCCAAAGTTTGTTTGAGATTGAAGAGGGGGAGAAAAAGAGCCAGGGGTACAGTTTTGGGGAATGCTGACTTAAGGAAGTGGCAGAAGAATTGGAGTTAAAGGAGAATGTAAGTGAGAAAGAAGTCTGATAAATAGAAGCAGCATCAGGACGATTCAATGTCATGGGATCCAAAAGGAGAGAAATTAGGCACATGCTAGTCTGTCTATAGCTAGAACATTTTATCATAAAAGTGCTTTGTAGTGATGACAATTGCAGCAGCAAGAACAACAGGAATAATATTTATAGTTTTTTCAGCACTTACTATGTTCTAGGCATTTTCTTAAGTGCTTTTCTGACGTGTCCTTTGTGTCAAGCTTTTAAGTCTGTTTTCCTTGTTTAAACAGATCTGCAAATTCAAACTCAGAGAAGTCAAGTTGCACGTCCAGGGCCAAACAGCCAATAAGTATTGGAAATGGGCATGATGTGAACTTTGGTATGCTGCAAAGAATAATGAGGGTTTATTTTACTTTGTGATGGTGGAAATCTGTGGAGACTGGAGATTAATGTTATCTGTAAAACTCACCACAGCCATCTCCATTAACCCAGAAGACAAAAATCCTTTCTTCCTTGAATGAGAGAATATGTGGATGAGTTCCATGTCGTTTGAACTTTGCTCATTTAAATCCCCTGATTCAAAATATATTAGTGACTGTAATATATCCGACTACATTAGTATGTGGTATATATTTTAACTTTGTTTTCTATTATAAGATCATTTAAAAACCATTCTTATCTACCATTTCCTCTACAAACTTCATATGCTTATGTTGCGCAACCTGAATTTTTATATAATAAGGAGAATTATTTAAATAGGAAAGAGAATCCTGAATATTTTTAAGCAATTATTTTGTTGAGTGCTTCCATGTGGAGTTGCATGCTTAAGAGACACACACAAAAGCAATTCCTGAAAATATTTGCTCATAATTGCTGCACTCTTATGGATGTGCTTTCATATATAATTCAGGAAAGATAAATTATTGCATGTGATAGATTAGCGTTACAACATAAAAGTACTGATTTGTGTATCCTATTTTAGTGCATTGCTAATTCTCAAGAGATAGCTATACAGTAATTTCCAAGAAACCAGACAGTTTAATTTTGCTACCAGTGCCATTTCAGAGCATGGGTGTGTGTGCAGCTGGCTAAGCTTTCTCTGTCCCTGTGCAGGAAGCCCTCCAGCAGCAGGGACTCTGGCCTGGACTTAGCCAGCAGCACTGAGCCCTCTCCAAGCCTCCCTGCTGGGGACTTCCTGGCCTTGGAGTGGCAGAATGTCTCTGCCTTTTAGCATGAGAGGAGGCTGGCATTTCTCTGAAAGAACTTTTACAAAGAAAAATGCTAAGGGATATGAAGGACAAGAGAGTATATAAAAGAGATGGATGAGCACAGTGTTTGTGTTAAACCTAATTAGATAAATTTAACCACAGGTTGATTTTCTGGCTAGACTTAAAGATTTGTTTTTTCTTTAGTTTGTATTTCCTCATAAAACAAAACAATACAGAAAAACCAAGACACACTCCCAAACTGTCCCCCATTGTAGAGGGCATAGGAACTGGGGCAGAGGAGGAGGGTCAAGACAATAGTGAGTGCGGCTCTCCCCACCTGATGGTTTCTATTACTGATTCATATTTGTTTCTGAATCACAGGCAAATTGCCACATTCTTCACTTTAAAGGACCTTATAATGCAAAATATTATTTTTCTGAAAAGGTAATATAAGTTGCATTTACTTTC